GCAGACATCCAATGAATTTGCGTTACATAAGAAGAATAATTGAACCAAAAAAAAAAAAAAAAAGAAAAAATATACAAAACAAAAAGAAAAATGGATATAGGATATCTTAATAAGATCCATAGATGCTAAAACAATAATTTTGTCTGTTTACAAACCAAATTGGACGCAATGTTCTCAATTCCTGAAGGTTGAACTTAAAATGTTTTGTCTTAACTCTACATCATCACATTTACATGGTACAGAGGAATAACACCTGAGTCCTCAGGAATGGCAACGCATGGGGGGTATCATGGGCGAAACAGTGTACTCTGTTATGTCCATGGTACTGCTCATGTCTATAGGCGACGGTTACCACTTTCCATCAGGTGGGCCGTTAGCTTGTTTGTCATTCTAAGTTGTATAAAAAAAAACATCCAGTAGTAGTCTGTTTTATTGGTTTCCCTATTTCTGAAATTTACACATACGAAGTAGCAGGCACAAAGCTAGCAATCAAATAAATGGGATCTAGAGATAATTGGATGTTTTTACTCAACCATGAATGAATAACTCAAAGGATTTAAAAGAGATTTAGCACAAAGGATTCTTTTATCTAAAGCTCTCGTCTTGGTAAGTGAGTAATATACACGTTAATCATCGAAAATAAGAAAGGAACAAACAACATGTGCTGACGCAATGTGATATGAATACTGACTTTTTGTACATTCAGAATTATATAAAGTAATTTAATTTCATTTGTGATTTCGTGCACTTTTTTCTTGTATTAGCGTTGGCTCTGTTTTGACCAAAATTGATGGTCAGAAATATATAAAATAACTACCTGACTCCGCAAACTTTGTTTTACTATATACATTATTTCGAAAACTATGCATGAAAATTTCTGGAACTACAATTATTATATTCGATTGCTATCTTGCAACCCTATTGCGGCATACAAAATCGCGATTAAAAAACAGGAGTTGATCGTAAAACGGTGAAAATTTGAGGTTGCATGTATTTTTCAATGCTAAATCATAATAAAATTAAAATAAAAAAAATTGTCAAAAAAAATTAAAATAAATATTTAGGGATGGTTCATCCTTTTCATTGAGGGGTATGAAAAATAGATGTTGGCCGATCCTCAGACCTACTCTATATGCACACAAAATTTCATAAAAATCGGTAAAGCCGTTTCGGAGGAGTTTGGTAACAAACATCGCGACACGAGAATTTTATATATTACGAGTACATTTAATTTTATTTGTGATTTCGTGCACTTTTTTCTTGTATTAGCTTCGGCTCTGTTTTGACCAAAATTGATGACGTTATTTTTAAAATGTACTCGTATGTTTATTTTTTTTTGTATATTTATGTATATGTCTATATTTAATTAAAGATAATTTAATTACCTTAGCTATGTTTGTTATACTCCAACTTTTATAAACTAATAGCCGTGTGATCCGGCATAGAATTTACGTTTCGTTTCGATTAAGTCGTGTCGATTAAGGGAAAAGGCGATTAAGGGAATTTAACGGTCAGGGGATGAGCAGCAGCGTCTCTTTTAAAACATCACCAAAATCCAACTGTGGTTGCCATACCAACTTACCAAGCGTGGCAACTACTGGCAAAATTCCCTCTGGGAGGGAGGCCACTGCTGAACGCACATAGCAGTGGACAGCTGATATGATGACGACGATTATAAATGAAACATAAAATTTGTGAGGATGTATGGATAGATCTTTATTTGGGCATGTGTGCGTTGGTTTGCCCTTGCCGATTGGGTAGTTCCAATTTTATTTTACTGGATTTGCAGTAATAACGAATTTGTTGTTGTTTGATATGATTTTTAATATTGCTACTAAACTATATAAATTTACAACAATTTAAATACACATGAAAAGAAGAGGTGACGGTATACAATGCAATTGAATTGTAACGAATGACGTGAATGTGGCTGCTGATTAGTGGGTCGTCGCAATTTGCTTCACACTTCACATTCCTTTCAGCAACCATAGATTATGCAGTAACAATCTTTTTTCCTTTACTACGCAAAAAATTGTGAAAGGATTTCAATGAAAGTTGGTAGTCAGGCTATATCGTAACTTAACCTATAGCACACTATACACTAACGCACGCGGGTAAAACCGCAGGACATAGCTAGGTAAATATAAATTACAAGTATAATTATGACACGATCAATACATAGGTCAATCTGTAATATCTTAGCGGACTATAAATTATGAATCAGTATCTCTATCTATTGTAGAAACACAAAACTTAAATCTGCTTACCACTTTAACTGATTTTCAATGAGCTAATTCTTTTTTAAGATCATTTTTATCTCCACTATCTGATATTTTTGCAAATATATCATATGTTTTCACAATTTTTTGACGCGTTCGATCATATTTTACATACGTATATACGATTGTAATATCAAGATTGAAGCAAAATGTATCAGTCACACGCCGGTACATAAATCTTGCACTATCTTGAGTAGTTTGACAGCAGCGGAAAATTTTTACTAATGACATTGCAAATTATTTGTTCACTGTTTTTGCATTTTTTTTATACAACTTAGAATAGCAAACAAGCTGACGGTCCACCTGATGGAAAGCTATAACCGTCGCCTATAGCCATGAGCAGTACCATGGACATAACAGAGTATACTGTTTCGCCCACGATACCCCCCATGCGTTGCCATTCCTGAGGACTCAGGTGTTATTCTTCCGTACCCAGTAAATTCACGCCATATCCCACCCTTCAAACCGAAACACAGCCATGCAAACACAACTGCTTTACGGTTGAAACACGAATGGGACAGAGGTACCTAAGCAATCGACTTTGGTAGGATGCAGATTTTTTTTTATTGTTAGGGAGACAAAAGAGTAGATTTTATATTCAGACTAACTATGGCTATAATTTTAAACCATGTGACCAGGGTATTGATTGAAAATGATAGCAAAGTAACTTGAGTCATTGTATTCTATGTATAATATGCTAAATTTCACGAGCTATTAAAGCATAAAGAGGTAATAAACAGACATCCTCACTTACACACCTATAAATAAGTATTATTGTTTTTTTTTTTAGTTAACTGTAACCATGAATTAACAGGGGGAAAAGGGTTTGTTAGCAATGGAGTTTGGCAGCCCCATTGCTAGCAATATGCTTTATTAGGTCGACCTCCATGTGGTTCCCCCTGGAAACCATCGTGAACAATTCTTGTTGAATTCATCACGATGGGTTAACTGACCTGACTGACTGAAATTCATTGATATATTCGACATGAAGCTGTCATCATTCAGGAGGTGCGTGAGCCGTTTGGAATGAACTTGCACGTTTACGGGTATTTAGTGATGTGGTTCATGTTAAGGCCATCCTAAGGCTGGGCTGTTGTTCTTGTGTGATGATAGTTTTATGGTTTAAATTTCTTTTAATGTAAATTATGGTATATGTATATAATGTTTACTAATTATTATGTCTTCCACGTGTCGAAATTGAAATGTTATGTTTAAATGTTAATCATGTTGTGTACACATGTTTTTGAATTGTAACCTAGCATTAACACCATAATTATCTATATATAAACCTAACAAAAGGTTATAATTTGTTATGTGTGCCTTATTAAAATAAATAAATAAATAAATAAATAAATAAACTGACCTACTTCATCCTCATCTATCATCCTTCACTGATGCCCCGCCGGTGTATACCGACAGCGCGGGTGGGGTCACCATTCCATTATCGTCCATTAAAAAAAAACTATGAATGAACAATATCTCTTATAAACATACCAACAAAACAAGATTCACAGTGCATAATCATCATCATCATCATATCAGCTGATTATTGTCTACTGCTGAACATAGGCTTCCCCCCAAAAGGGGGGTTTTGCAGTAGTTGTCACGCTGGACAGGCGGGTAGGCTTTAAGAGGGACGCTGCTGTGTACACCTTGACTATTAAGTTCTCTTAGTCGCCTCTTACGACACCCACGGGAAAGGAAGGGGTGGCCTAATCTATGCCGGAGCCATACGACAGAATTGCCTAGTGAATAGTGCAAAATATATTTGACAATAAAAAGATTATACTGAAATTTTGATGCTACAAGGAATCTGCAGTAATTATGGATTTGTTTATGACAAACAAATTGATAATTTAGCTCATTTTTACTCAATATTACATGTTATGAGCCACAAAAACATTGTTGTTTTGAACAAAAGCCTTGCTATTATTCGTGATAGTTAATTAAGGTGTGATAAGAGTAAAAACATATTTATAACAGTTTGATAACATGCAATATCTTTATTGTAGAGGGACAGTAATGCCAAGTTATTTGTAATCAGAGCAAAATATCACCGCGATGTGAGAGCGATCGTATCACGCCTAACTAGAAATATCCAATCACGTTTAAAATCACATCCCACTCTTACAATAATCGTGGCCAAATTGCTACCAGCTAGCAATTACAGTTTAGTCATGTATATAGCAGAGCTATAGGCTTCAACCATTCATATACATCTACTTTAAATTGCTTATTTTGAATATGATTCATTGTTAAAGTGTTATTACTTGTCTATTCTCAACTTTTTATTCTTTCGCTATCATATATACTCACAGGTAACTCATTCTAATAATTAGAATTTTAAAATGTCTTTGTCCAAATCAAAACTCATTATGTCAAGACTATTGTTCTCTCCATCTGAGATCTAATATCTCTCTTAATGCAGTTTTATTTAGTGTAACAAACTATTTAAATGTTGAATAAGTTTTTATTGAATCAACGGTTAAATAGACGCACTACGATTCAGATATTTCGAATGAAAATGTAATTTTTAAATTCCACGGGATACGAAAACCATCTGGAGCGGCGACAAAAAGTGTGTAACTTGGTGCGTGTGAGGTCGTTACAGAATCATCTGGGGGCTCCGGCGGTGGTATGGCTATGGTAGCGTAGAGGCTGCGCGATCGAGCGAGAGGCACTATACGATAGCGAGCCTATAGCTATTCGATTCATTCTCGATTTCTCGTTCTCGCCAGTGCCGCGCCAACCGCTGACAATATCGCTCGTCGCGTCATTCCATTGTCTCAAAAGTTTTAACGTGAATAAAAAAACCTTATCGAGTCGGAGTGATTTTTTAATATTGCAAAAACAAAACGAATTGTTTTATTTCTCGAATAACGAATTGAATGGGTGTTGTGAACAAGTGAATCGATTGTTTAAAACAGCTACCTACCTGCACGACGCGTGGCGGAACATAATAACAAACTCTCGTCTCGTGTTTCGAATGGTCCTCGACAATAATTAGTTTGGTAAAAGTGAGTGTGTGTGTCGTGGACGCTTGATGGTTCAATTAGAACTAGTTTACTAGGCTTTTGTATGTATTGATACTGACAGTTCGTGTGAGCAGCCTCTCCGCGAATACGGATGTTGAAATTGGTTAGTGTATGTGTTTGTTTTTGCTTGCTTTTAAGTGATTCGCTTAAACAGACAGTAGCTTCCAATTGTGCTCGTCATTTGATATCCTCTAATTGCTAACCAACATTAACTAGCCTGCTCATTGATGTCACTTGTGCTTTGTTGTTAGTTGGCAACGCTAGTGTGAGTACTATGCTGTGTTGTTATAGTTAACATTTTGTCTGTGAGTGTATAATCAACGTGATAAGTATATGATAATGGTCCGATAAACGATTGCTTAATTTCATTATTCTCTTTGGTAGCACCAACAATAGTTGTTGCAATGTTTTGGCTCACATAGGTAGTAACTTTAAATTTTTATAGTATAAAAAAAAAAAACAGCGCACGACAACAGAGATCATAAAATAATGCTGTTTACTTTATTTTTTTTTAATTATTATTTTCATGTATTGTATTTGCATTACTTTCTTATCTATCATTACTGCAATGATCTATCTTTGTCAATAAATCTTTAAAATAAATTCAAACAAACATGTTTCTTTTATTTTCTGGGAATGTCCCGTTACATTTATTAGTATTCGTAATTTATTTCCATTATTCTAAGCTCAAGATCTTTATCTTCTAATTGAATTTCTAACTATACCTTTATAGGCTGATAAAGCAGCTGTTATGGTCATGCAAACAAACATGTAAACACCTGTACTTGTAAGTTAGAATTAATTTATGAAGGCTTTTAATTCAGAAACAATTATGCAAAGGGCATCTGTTGACCTACACGGTTATTAACCGGCATATGCTCTTAAAGATAATTATGTACTTGAACTTTATGAGCACACAGAATACGTATTGTAATAACTTCCCTGTACTTGTAGTCGAAATTTTTTTAGTCCACAATTTATACCTATTATGTGTTTTTATTAGCTATGAATTTAATTGAACATGATGGTAGTCAGACTAGTTTACGGCGAGATTAATTTCTTACTCATTTTGGAGGAGTAGTTACAAAGTAATTTTTAAACTGGTAGCGTTATTCTCATATTACTTAAGTTTGTTACTTAAGTATTTTGATTCTGATAATTATTTGCATTTGATGGATTTTAGATTTAAACTTTGTAAAAAGATTTTTTTTATACAACTTAAAATGGCAAACAAGCTGACGGCCTACCTGATGGAAAGTGGTAACCGTCGCCTATAGACATGAGCAGTACCATGGACATAACAGAGTATACTGTTTCGCCCATGATACCCTCCATGCGTTGCCATTCCTGAGGACTCAGGTGTTATTCCTTTGTACCCTGTAAATTTACGCTATATCCCACCCTTCAAATCGAAACACAGCTATGCAAACGCAACTGCTTCACGGTAGAAACACGAATGGGACAGAGATACCCAAGCAATCGACTTTTGTACAGTCTCCCTCTGGTAAATACTTATATTCTTCTACAAGTTTCATTATTCACACTTCATTTTCCATTAAAACTACATTTTTATAGTATTTAATATGCCAGAGTTACACAAATAATGTTTGTATTGAAATTAAATGAACCATAGGCATGATTTCATAAGGCAGATTAGCTGTCCTTATAACCTTCTGTATGTCTCAGATTTAAATGGTGCGGTATAAGTTAAATTTTCTCTCGTTTGGATAAGATGGCTTTGTGTAAAAAATGTTGTGGGGGAAAGGGATTGTTAGTAATGGAGACTGAGAATCCTATTGCTAGCAATATACCCGACCAGGTCGATCTTCTCGCGGTTCTCCCTGGAAACTATCATGGTTAATTCCTGATGAATTCATCATGATGGGCTAACTGGCCTGTTTTCATTCTCATCTGTCACCCTTCACTGGTGCTCCGCCAGCGTATCCCGTTAGCGCAGGCGGGGTTACCGTACCATTTTCACCCAGCAAAAAAAAAAAAACGAGGTTGTATGAAATATTTTAAAAATACCATTCCATTAATCGATGGTATCCAACTATTTAATGTGAAAGAAGAATTACAAATTTCAACAATATGATTGATTAAATCACTAATCATATTTGTTATTATTGGCATCTGATGGAATACATTGCCGGAGGGCCGATTGGTATGCGCAAATTTCCTTTTCATCAAATATTTGTAATAAATAACTTTCTCTGGTCTTCCACGAAGTGTTTTTTGTATAAAGAAGACAGACAAGTGATCGTGTCAGCTTTCGAGTTATGAAGAAATAAGTCCAGAGAGTTTTAGTTCATCCAAATCAATTTTCAAAAAGTTATTAAAACAGCATTTATTAACTAAACAAAAACTTGGGTTGGTCGCCTGGTAGCGACTGCTTTCAACATAATAATTATTATGGTGAATTATTTATATTGTATGTTTAATTAATTAATAAAATATATTATTTACGCATCATTTATATAAGTATGTATCTATATAATACAATTTTATCTTTAGCTGTTACACAGGTTACACTCTAGGTTTGTTGTACGCGTCCGTGTAGCCTAACTTCAGGCTGCAGCTGAAAATCAGTGCTTTGCTTTTAAGCAAAACCATCACTGAGCTGTAGCCTATTTGGGTCACTGCGACCACACATGGCGAAACCATATGTTCATATTTTATCTTTTGTTGTATATTTTGAGAAGTGTAAATAATTTGATTGTATAAACTCATTTGTAAATTTACGTGTGTCATGAATGGCTCAAATAAAAAGTTTATCTATCTATCTATCTAGTTTGAGTATTGTAAATTCTCTGTATATTAGTAGTCAAGAGTTATGAAAGGGTTTAAACAAATATATTCCTTAAAGGGAAAGATAAAAAAGGAATTAAAAATGTAAATTTGTTAATTTTGTACTCGGTAACATAAAAGTTTGTTTTTTAATACAATATGTCATCAATCCGTTTTATCTTCAGAATGTTCAACGAGATGACTAATGAAATTAATCATAGTACACTAGTGCAAGAAAAGAATATATATCAAAAATAAAACCCGATAAGAAACTGCCATCATGGTTATAGTAGACCATCTTTATAACTTTGGGGAGAAAGGGATTGTTAGTAATGGAGACTGAGAATCCCATTGCTAGCAATATACCCGACCAGGTCGACCTCCTCGCGCTTCTCCATGGAAACTATCATGGTTAATTCCTGATGAATTCATCATGATGGGCTAGCTGGCCTGTTTTCATTCTCATCTATCACCCTTCACTGGTGCTCCGCCAGCGTATCCCGTTAGCGCAGGCGGGGTTACCATACCATTTTAACCCATAAAAAATACCTATCTTTATCTTAAAACCCGTGCCCAGTCGTGGGACGCTAATGGGTCGATATGGTATTTGTAATAAATCACTTTCTCTGGTCTTCCACGGTTTGTCGTCGTATGCAGACGATGAACAATGATCGTGTCACTGTAAACTGATCCACTTACCTATATGCGGTGTCGCATGTTGGCGTGTGGCGTGTGGCGTGCAGACAGCTGTACCACTGTCGCTTGTTTGCTAATTGTTGAATTGAAAGTACAGTTTCAGCCGCATTGCTTGTTCCCCTGCGATTTTCTCTTCTCTTAACGATTCAGATTCGTGTGCAATTATTACTTCATTATATGTCACGTTCGTCTCTTCGATTTGATGAAAGTAGAAAACGTTTTGAGTATTGTCCGCGGGTGCGTTAGTTCCACGTTGATGGTCCGCTTGAATGTTGATTGCTGTTTGTTGTTAAATTGTTTAAATAAATCAAGAGCCATCGTTTGTTTAGTCCACGCTTTCCAATATATTTCTATCGTCGATACGTATAATTGAATCCGTCATTTATATAATTGTTTATAACACTTTTTTTGGGGACAAGTGTCTACAAATTCAGTTATTTCAATAAGTTGGTAAGAATTACAAACAAGCAAGCAATATACATCAGTATCGAAATACAGCCATGCAAACACAACTGCTTCACGGTTGAAACACGAATGGGACAGAGGTATCCAAGCAATCGACTTTTGTACAAAGTCTCCCTTTGGTGATTTTGTCATGAAATCGACTTAAAGTCGGTTTCTTTTGTGGATAACAATCTTAAATTATATTATTGTTAATATGACGTCTCCATTAATACGTTTACTATACTATTCAATTCAGTTACTTTTGTAATAGAATATGGACCCTTAGTATTTTGCATCTACTAACGTTATGTTCGGAACTTAATAATGTGTAACTAATTGTTCGCAGCCAAATTTCAGACAAATTATATATAGTAGCGAATATTCAGAAGAACTTATCTTCTAGTTGTTTCCACAGAGCGGCAGTAGATTGTTGTTTTGTAATGCAGTAACCACTACGTAAACCGCAAGCTCATTACCCATTTAAAAATCTTAGGTTTAAAGCAAAATTATCTACCTTGTATATTTTAAAAGGCATAGTGATAAAACAACTGCATGGCACAATTCCCCTGCATGGATGTTGTTGAAGATTGCAAGCTGTATTTTTCTTTCCCTATCACTGTTTTTCTTTTTATTATTGTATTATAAAATGATTTTATAATATAAGGAATGAATATCGTTTCAATAATCATCATAATCATCATATCAGCCTTTAACTGTCCACTGGTGAACATAAGCCTCCCCCTAGGGTGAGGGGAGGGAGACTGTGTACAGAAGTCGATTGCTTGGGTATCTCTGTCCTATTGGTGTTTCAACCGTGAAGCAGTTGTGTTTGCAGGGCTGTTTCGGTTTGATAGGGTGGTATATGGTGTGAATTTACTGGGTACAGAGGAATAACATCTGAGTCCTCAGGAATGACAACGCATGGGGGGTATCATGGGCGAAACAGTATACTCTGTTATGTCCATGGTACTGCTCATGTCTATAGGCGACGGTTACCACTTTCCATCAGGTGGGCCGGTAGCTTGTTTGTATATATAATATAAAAAATAAAAAAGGGGGTTGGCAGTAGTTGCCAACATCATTTTCATAATCAAATCATTTCAACATTAAATTAACAGTATTGAAAAAGTTCGAAAGAATTTCATAATAGGTATGCATTAACTTAGAATTCGTAAG